CTTACTTGTTCATTGTAAGCAAAGGAACGAACATCTAAAGCGGCACGAAGTCGCATATTTTCTTTTTCCATAGATTTATTAACATCCATAAGAACACGCATATCCTTACATATACCTTTTTCATCAACTAGAGCAGATTCTTGCATACTATCACATATTCGTTGTAGTTGAGAAACCTTTAAATCCTTCACCAGAGACTGTGTTTTGACATCTTTTAATTCATTTTCCTTCATTTGAAGAATATTCATTAATCCTGCTAATTCTTCCTGAACTGCCGCAAGAGATGTTTCCAGGGAAACAATACGATCTTTTTGTTCTGTACAAATATTGGTTAGAATATCAATACGTTCATTTAAAGCTTCTTCAGCTGTAGTAGATTTAAGTCCATCTTGACTACGAGAATAGACAAAACGATTTAAAACCCCTTGTACCATTTCATACGTATCCCAATCACCAAATCGTGAGGGTTCTGTTTGTGCTGCCTCTGTAAAAAGTAAATTGTGTATATTATCTTTATTTCCTTGGAATCGTTCCTCTTTGAGTTTGCGTCTACGCTCAGCTATTTCTTGCTGCTGGGCGTTAACTTCTTCATAATTGGTATATATCTGTTCCAGAAAGTGCCACCGTTGTTCGTCAGGCAAACGGGGCCGTAGTTCCACTTTCCCTGTAATATTTGATTTCATAGTGACTGACCTTTTTTTTTCTTTCTTTCTTTCTTTCTTTTTCTTGTTTTTACTTTGATTTTGCTTCTCGTTTTGTACTCAGGCCTATAAAATGAAGAGAGAGAGAAATAAGAGAAAGAGAGAAGTAAAAGTCTAGACCTATAAGGGGAATGAGGGGTGGTAGTGATAACAGAATATACAAAACTAGAAATCAATGGAGAGACACACACACAGACACAGAAAATAATAATAATAATAATAATAATAATAATAATAATACAATCTTTCATTTTTGTTTGCTCTTTCTTTCTTTCTTTTCTCCTTTTTCTTCTCTTTTGTGGGTTTGTGGGCGAGACGACTAATACTAATACTACTATTATTACTACCACACTACGTACTAATCCTTCAGTGATTTTGAACCCACATCGGGATGTACATCGGTAAAAGATACATCAATGACGAGATGAATGTGATGTGATGGATGATTACTGCAGGGTAATAACTGTTCTTCGTTAATATGTATTTCCTCTGGTATATCAAGTACTTGATGAAGGGCCAATGTCTGAGGATCGTAAAAGATAAAATCTTGAGTGCGAAAGATAACACCTCTTTCCTTCATAATTTCCTTCCTTACCGCTAACGCATCCTCTTGTTGCTGTTGATGTTGTTTCTCACCTTCGTCTTTTCTTTTTGTTGTTTCTTCTTTTTCTTCTTTTTGTTGTGACTGGACCTCCTCCTCTTTTTTCTCCTTTTTCTCTCCCCTATCAATAGACGCATCACTATCTTTTTCGTTAACTAATTTTGCAGAAATAGAGGATTTCATCTCTTCCTTCTTTACGGAGATTCTTTCTCTTGTTTTTGCATACTTTGCCATTTCACGTTCCGCACGTTTGGAAGCACTACACTCTTCATAGCAATTACGATTCGCGGCGTAATATTTTTGATACTTTACATTTGCCTTTTTATCTTCATGAAACCACGTCGTCCATCGGGGTCCACCTACAACATCATATGTAGAGAAGAGACGTTCTCTCATAAATTGTACACAATCTTCTTCTTCATCGATATTATTAAAATCACCACAAATTACATTAGACATATGCGCACGATCCGCATCATTGCGATTTAACGCATCTAATATTTGCATTGTTTGACGAGCCTCATGTAGACGTATTTGTTTCGCCTCTTGTGAATCACCAGCAGTGAATTGAATACAAGCCACATTTAATGTCATGTTTGTTACCTTATCTCGCATAGAAACAATGTGAGCAAAATGAAAATGTTGTCCCAGGTCTTTTCCTGGCATAAGAATGGGTACAAAACGTCCCTTATGAAAAAGTATGACATTTCCAATATCTTCTCTTTCATCTATTTTTCCCTTATGTCGTGTTTGTTTAGGATCATCCCCTTTACGTAAAGCCCGCACTTTATATCCCCGACTAGATTGATATAAAGTTCCATAACCACAATACCGAATATACTTCCACAAAACGTTATTAAAAAAGGATCTATTAACCTCTTGTAGAGAAACAATATCCGGATCATAGTATCTAATCTCATTTACTAAATATGCCCGTTTAAAGTCTGGTTGAAGGAATGGTGGTACCTCTGTATCAATAGAAGGATCATACGGTAAAAAAGCATCCGGATCTTCTCCAGATCTTGTAAATCCAGGAATATACACTTGTACACCTTGCACAGGTGTTGTTGATGATGTTGATGTTGATATTATTTCTTTTTCTTTTTCTGTTTGAACTCCATTCCAGGCATCCGTCATTATATTAAATTGCATGAGCCGAAACCAATCCCGACGTGATAAAGAGGTGGAGAGTCGTGAGAGAGGCGCCTTCACCCAGGCACGTGGAAGTGTCGGTTTATATATAGAGTTCCCCTCCGCTGGGCGCATCTCTGTTAACTCAACACTTCGCAGCCGCGCCGCAGCGGCCTCTCGCAGTATATTCTCCGCCAAACACGGTTGAATTAAACTTCGCATTCCGCCTGTGAGTCCCTGCACAGGGCCGCCAATAACATTGGAGCCGTCAAGGCAACACACACTGCGACGAAGCATCAATTCTTCTTCTTCTACTCTAACTGCTGCTTCTTCACAAGAATGTGTGTCTTTTTATCAAATAGTTTAATAAATAAATAAATAAATAAAGATAGGAAAAAGGATAATATTAAAGTAAACATGAGAATTCATATACCTCAATGGAAATAAGAGTCTCTCATCAGCAATAGAATGCTGATCACCAGTGAGGTAGAGAGAGGAGGGAGAGGGATATAGGCCCACACATGCCACTAGGAGGTAAAAACGAAGACAAACACACACACACAAAAAAAAAGAGATAAATAAATCAAGACATCTAACACAAAAAAAAAAAAACTATCTAAGAGTGTTTTCTTTTTCTTTCCCTCTCTACTTTTTTTTTTTTCTTCTTCATTTTTTCATGTCTGCATGTGTGTGCATGTGGGTGTGTACAAAGAAAAAGGAGAGCAATTCTAATAGGGCATACTTTTTTTTTTTTTTTTTAAATATTGTTTTCACTTTTGTTTCCCCTTGTTTCCCCCATTTTCTGAAACATATATATATATATATATATATATATATATATATATATTATTTGGAACTTCACTGTCCGATCTCTTCGAGTTGACGGGAGAGTGCTTCTTCCTCATCTAGGAGACTTCGCAGCTGCATTAATTGCCCCTGAAAGTGATGAATAGCTTTAAGCTTTCCCCCAAGAATATCCATTACTCTGTTCACATAGGTTTCAATATTAGAATTTGGCATTTCCACAGACATAATCTGGGAAAACTCTTCCTTTATGAAACTCATGTCTTCGTCAAGATATTGACGATGTGCCTGGACACAAGTATGTTCAAGTTTGACAATTTCATCAACTATCTTATCATAACGAACACCAAGATCCAAATCGACACTCTTTCGTGATCGTTCTTCTTGCTGTTCATCATCCTCACGGCAACGTTTATTACTGCACTCACCATGGGAGCATTCAGGAGCTTTTGTGCAGAGTACACCACTCATACGTGTTGTGCCTGAACGTCTTCCTCCTCCCACAGCTGCCACCCTTCCACTTGATCTACTATTGCTGATACCACTGTTACTGCAGGTATTATTATTATTGTTGTTGCTATTGTTGATGCTGCTGCTTCTACTGCTGATGTGGTTATTATTATTATTATTATTGCTCATGTTATTATTCTTCTTACTCTCCACACCACCAGACACTGTGTGTGTGATGTTTACCACTCCTAGTGGTGGAGCTGAGAGTCGACCATGTACAGAGGGTCTCGGTGTAGGCATAGGCGGTTTCCTGTCAAAGACTATCTCTGTCTGTTCATTTTCCTCAAGAGGACGCCGTTCACTGTGACTCTTCTTTAACTCCTTTACTCGATCTGCATATCGCAAGGTATTGAGTGTGTGTTCACAGTTATTACTTGAAGGAGAGACAGCACCAATCATCACAGTTCTGCAATTTCCCACAAATGAGTCACGCAATACTTCTGTTAACTTTGAACCTCGAAAAGGAACATGACGGCGATTTAAGTCCAGTGAACGAATACATTCTTTCAATGCCAGTAGACTTTTATTAATTTGTGCTCCTTCAATACGTGTCTGTCGATCGCAATCCATAGTATCAGCACCTCTTTCACTTCCAGCGAGATCGATAAAAGTAAATTTTCCAAACAGTTTATTATCATCACGTTGTCTTGCTTTAATTTCAAGAATAGCATGTGAACGTGAACTTGTATCATTAGCACCTGTTGTACCACTGCTTCGAATACGATTACCACCCTCAATAAGTCGCATAATACTGCGAACATCTGTTTGCCGGTGCTCTGTTAATCCACAAATGTTTACATTCTGTTTGCCATCTTCTAAACAACGCAATGGTTGTCGTCCATTAAGTAAATCATATAATTTCCCACTGTAAATCTCATAAAAAGAAACATATAACTCCATACTGCTATCAAGACGTGTAAACATATCTTCTGCAGCTAGAGCATATAAACCAGGTTCTGTACCAGTTCCCAACATGGTATGCGTCTTACCACTTCCTGTTTGTCCATATGCAAAACAAGTGGCACATCCACCTTCAAATACGGTTTCAATAAGTGCTGCCGCCGTCCGTCGGTAGACATCTGCATTTGTGCTCGTCTCAGCGAACACCTCATCAAAGAAGAATCGATGTGTATGGGTGTACTTGGTAAGATCCACCTTCTGTCGTGGTTCTGCAAGAACAAGTTCATCACAATCATTGGTAGACATAACATCTGTGAAATTTCTCTGTGCTTCAATAGAACTTAGGGGTCGTTTTCGTACGGCCACAACAATACGGCTTTTGCGCCTTTTAATTTCTCTACTGTCTGCAGAAGGCATAAGAACAGTAGTTCCACGTGAAGTATACTGCCGTTCTCGTCCATCCTTTTCATCTAATAATTCCTCTCCCTCTGTGGAAGAGGTTGGTGGGATTAACAAAAGTGTATCATCTGTGAGTGATGGTTTTCTGCACTTTACATCCCGTCGAAGGTGCTGTATTGCCTGATACAGATTTATCTTTTCCTCATCATCTGTAATGCCGTAGTTGGTGTATTGATCAATCTGAAGAGAGAGGAAGTCTTCACAAGAGACACCGGCATCCATGAATTTTCCCAGCAAATGTCCAAGCGAGAAATGCTCCAGCACCTCCAGCAACTGCAGCTCCCATGATGACATCTCTGGGGGGAAAAATCCACCAGAGATGTGAAAGAAGAAGAAGAAGGAGGAGGAAAGATGAGTTATAAGAGAACTCACTAACACACCAACTAGCAAAGAGGAATCAGAAGCAATAACCGAAACAATAAGGACAGCAACAGAGAAATATGAAGGGGGAAGTAAGAGAAAGAGAAAAGAAAAGAGAGAAGTTCTTTCCTTCCTTAGAAGAATAAAAATATAGCAAGAAAAAAAGAAAAAGAAAAAAGAGAAAATGAAAGAGCAGAAATTATACTCAGTTGAAAGCTCTACCAACCTCAGATGTAATTCTTCATTCATTCTCTCTCTCCCATGAGGAAATGACATGTCCACGATAAGAGTAATTTTCTTAATGGTAATAATAACAATAATAATAATGATACCAGCGTTAAAAACACAACAGAAAGAAAAAAGAAAAAATATATATAAATGGCACACGGCCTCATGTATTGAGTACCAGTGAACCAAAATGTTTGTGCGTTGCAGAAATCTTCAAATCCATGTCTCATCATCATCATCATTATCAACATCATCACCATTACTGTTGTACAACCTTGCAAGAAAATGTGATCACAGCGCTTCTTACCATCACCACTATCATCAGCCAGACACAGCAAGCCTCCTCTCCTCTCCCCCGTTTCCAGTACACAACAAGAACAACAACGAGAAAGCAAAAAGGGAAAAGAAAAAAAAAACAGACAATCAAAATAACAGATATACACACAACGCAGCAGCATTCACAGAGCAACAACAACAACAACAACAACACACATTGCAAGCAAGCTCGTTATCGTGCGGATTCCACACCAGTGTTGTTGCTACTGCTATTATTATCACCACTACCACTATTACCAGAATTCTCTGTTGCCTCCTGTTTCTTCTGAAGCATAGCCGCTTTCTTTGCTGCGATCGCCTCCCGCAACTTTCGAAGTGTGGCCTCCCGCTGCTCATTTACATTCGCCCGCTCCTTCAGCAACTCCTCCCGCTTGCGTTCCAACTCACGTTTCTTACGAAGTTCTAAAATTCTACTCTGCAACTCCGACTCCACTCCACCCGTCACCTCCCGTTGGCGAAGTGGTGTGATGATGGTCCGAGCATGTTCCCACACAATATCCATCTTTAGACATCCCTCCTTATATTTAAGTTCATCCACCTGATCCGAGTCGAGTTGGGCCACCTGTTCAATTGTCCACACATTCCGCTCAATCAACTTCTTCGTGGTGTGGGTGCCGCAGCAGTCCAGCCAGGCAATGAAGGTCCCCGGCGTCACATCCGGCGCACACTCGAGGTGAATGAGCCACCAGCGGCGATCTTCATTCGTCACTCGTCCACCCGTCGCAATACCGCGAATACAATTGGAACCCGGCTGTTGGCGAAGTGCCGGCGCGATTTTCCATAATCGCAATCGCATCATTATGATTTGTTGTTTTTTTTTTTTGTTTTGTTGTTGTTGTGTTTTTCTTCGTTTTTTTCTTTTTTTTTTACTATTATTTTCCAATTATAACGACAAGAACAATAATGATGGTTAAGGTATTTAATTACTATTGTTAAATTTCGCTGTGTATGCACTCTCGTTCCCCACCTCTCTCTCTCACACACACAGACACCCAACACTTTGCAATGCAGTTCGGGAGGAAAAGGAGGAGGAGTAAGCGTGTAAAGAGAAAGAAAAAAAGAAGAAAACGAATAGTTTTAATAAGAGCAATAATACCATAAAAAACAAAAAACAAAAAAAAAAAACAGAAAAACAAACAAACGGAAGAGTGAAGGGAACACAAGGGAGATGTGTGAAAAAAAGAAGAAGACTAGTCGATAGGACCAAGGGGAACAAGTAAAAAGATAAGCAAAATAAACATAATCACCAGCAATAACACAACCATAATCTTTTTTTTTTATCATTTTCTCCTCTCCCATTTGTATTTTCTTTTTTCCGTTCACCTTCGATGAGCAGGAAGCAAAAAACAAAAGCAAAAAAAACAAACAAACAAACAAAAAGAACGAAACAAAAAAACCCTGGTGGACGTCAAACACACCCCCTATCAACTCCATACACATTTTCGTCTCACACCACCAATGTTAATACGTTTCGAGATGGAAAGAACAATGAACAAAGAAAAACAAGAGTATAAAAAGGGGATCAGAAAATAGTCCACTGTACATTATTTTTCTTCTTCTTCCTCTTCATCTTCTTCTTCCCATGGCATACGAGGGAAATCCAAATTTCCTCCAGCTGTTGTTGTTGTTGTTGTTGTTTCTTCAGTGGTTTTTTTCACAGGATCTGTTGAGGGCTCTTGTGAACTTGCCTGGACTGTTTTGGTATCCACATCATTTGATTTTGGAGAAGTAACCGTTTCCGGTTCTCCTCCATGATCCCCAACGGTTACTTCACTGGATGCACCTTTTTCATCCTCTGCACGACTCTTATCTACAACAGCAATTAATTTGCTTTTCTTGGCAAATTCTTCATACTCCGTAAGGCGTTCCCGTAATCGCTTTAATACAACTCCTATCATCCTTAATGTCTCTTCTGACAAATCTGTACGTTTAAAGTATCCAGCCAACTGTTTTGCGTGTCCATCACATGCGTTTGCTGCTGCCTCCACTAACAAATCTCCATCTGAAGTATCATCGGTTAAGTACTCAATAAGCATATCGGCTGCTTCTTGTGCATCTTTCACATGTTCAATAACAGTTTCCTCATCTACTGTACGAGTGGATGAGATATCACGTGGTTTTCCAGCTGGTGGGGCATTAATAACGGTAAGCAGTAGTCGTACTTGTTCATCATTCTTACATAAACTGAGGGCTGAAATTTTCCAAAAGTAATTTGCCCAAAATACTTCTTCCTTCATTTTACCAGGAACCAAATTGTACCGCTGTTGCCGTAATCCTGGAACCACCAGTAATCCTTCATGTACATCACGATCATAGTTAAATTGTGCATGTGTATTTGTAATCAATCGTTGATTAAGTCCAGATTGTAATAATAACGCTTGTTCATCTTTTGTAAATCCTCTGTTCGGTCCATAACGAAACGTCCCTTCATCTTCCACAATAGTTTCCGTGATAAGTCGACGCCATTCATTCTCTCTACCGATCCAGTTTTCTGGTACTTGATTCCATGGCACACTGTTCGCCTCTTCATTATCTTTCACCACTTGTGTACCAAACTCCTCACGTGTTTCACTGTATACTTTAGAAGCCTTTTGCATGATTTTATTAACAGAGTCTGCGAGTGCAGACCAGACAGAGGAAACGGTTTTACTTACCCGCTCTGCCGTCACATTTACACCAGTTTGTATAGTTACTTGAAGTAGTAAAGATAATCCATCACCTTCTACAAACTCTGGGTTTTTAAGAATACTTGGTGGAATGAGTTCTGGAAAACTCACTTGATAACTGGTGGGTACAAATTCAACAGTTTCTGTCTGTTCAATATCATGTATTCCACTATCATGTAGACGATTTACCACACGTACATTTACACTGCAACCTCCCGGATATTCTGTTCCGGTGCCTGTGGGTGGTGGGATGAGTTCCAATAACAAACCAACATAATCATCCGCTTCTCGTTCCCTTGCCACAATTCCACGAATGAGAATAATTCGAAATTGATGGAGTTTCATTACATCATTTGGTACCCAAAATGGCAGGGAACTGAGTTTGTTTTTACGATCAAGATGGCGTAAACCCGCAACATTCCACCGGTATGTGCTGATATCCGGACTGGGATTGGAATAAAGTTCAACTGTCGTCATTGCTCGTGTTAAGTCTCTCCTCGATTTGTTTTTTCTTTTCTTTTTTTTGTTTTTTGTTTGAACAGAATTAACAGAAGGATCTAATACCCCTATCAAATAGATAGAAATATATATATAAAAAAGAAATAAATCTATAAATCGTAGTTTTGCTGGGTTAATACAGTAAAAAGAAAAACAAAAAAACAAAGGCGAAGAAACAAAGAGACTGTAAAGGAAAGTAGGAAAAGAAAGCAGACCATAATGCCCCAATATTGTAAACCAAAGGAAAAAAAGAGAAAACAGTAATGCGGAGAACAATAATAAAGCACCAGCAGCAGTAAGAACACCACATCGAACGTACATTTATAGAGGATTATATAAAAACTGCACTGGAATCAACCAAAATAATAACCACCTTCTGTCACCATCATCTATACAAAAACCACACATAAGAACAAACTTACGCATCGACATAAAGAAATACGAAAAAACAAAAAAAAAAAAAAAAAAAAAAAAAA